TTTCTTCTGTGGAACAGCTGGTGGGTTCGAACCACTGACCTTTTGGTTATCAGCCAAATATCCAGCTCGGGAAAGCATATTATTGTACATTCTCCGGCTCAAAAGCACACAATCACACCTTGAAATGTATTTTGCCACCTTGAACATATTTCAGAGAACCCTGTTTCTGCTGACGAAACACTGAAAGCAACATTAATATAAGTCTTGTTCGAAACAAGAGTAAGGAGATGGTCCTTTGAGCAATGTTCTTGAACAATCACTCATTGAAAATAAACAGTCAGACCTTAGCTTTGTTGATGCTGTCTTTGTCATGTGAAACTGCAAGGGTAGAAAACAACAATAACAAAAATAAATAAATAAATAATGAGGATGGGGAAGGAAGCCAGGGCTACTCTTTCAACAAGTATTAAGTTCTCATTTGTATTAAGTTCTCTTTGGGGAAAACACAGAAGAGAATTCCAAATCCTCATGGAATCCAGACCTTTTGGATCTATGGAGGCTGGATGACCCTGAAACTATTGCACTGAGATAATCCTTAAACCTTAAACTAAAAATATTCCCTGAAGTCTTCTTAAAATCAAACAGTAGTTTAGCTGAACTAGTAAAGAGAGTTCTGCCTTGAACATTAATTATGCTCTTTTAGGAGCTACTCACATGGGATCAAATTGACAACAGCAACTCGAAAGATTAGATAGGAACTTTGGGCAACAGGGAGTCAGTGTTAATGGGGAAGGGACAATTTGGAAAAGGAGAGTGATAATGGTTGCACAACTTGCAGTTCTACTCTGACATATACGTGGCCACCATTAATTGGGGTTGACATTTTTGGTGGGATGGAACACAGGAAATATTCAAAATATTGCTGCAGATAAACTCTCTTCTGTCTGTTTTAAAGGGGAGTTATCATCTAAAAGTAATTCCACAAAAAATGAAATTTTCTCTTAAAGTACATTTCAAATATCTCAAAGGTACATATTAGATATTAATTATTTTATTTGCTTGAGCATTATGCTTTTTTAAGATCTACCTATATGGGATCAAATTGACAACAGCCACTTGAAAAATTAAATAGGAACCGTAGGTGGCAGTGAGTTTATGCTAACGGGAGGAATAACTCAGAAAAGGAGGATGAAAATGGTTATGCAACTCAAAGCATGTAATCCATGTCATTGAATTGTGCATGGAGAAACTGTTGAATGGGTATGTTTTTACTGTGTTTATTCTCAACAACACTAAAAACAAAACTAAATAAATTACTTTTAAAGAAGAAGTTAATTATTCTAATATAAGGCAATAACTTTGATTTATTTAAAAAAAAAAAAAAAACCTTTAGAAACTGGATACTAGAAAATATACTGACCTGAGATAAGTGGTCTTTGTAGATGTTAGCTTTGGCTGAAAATTTACGAACACAATCTTGGAAGAAGTGCAATACCTTCAACATCTTACAAGAATCCAGTAACTCTGGATGTGGTCTTTCTTTCTAAAGTTGTTTCACCTTGAAAAACACAAGTGTTCTTTGAGATAAGTGTGAAAAATGACATTTTAAATAAAGAGAAGGGTTAGTATAAATGATTACAAAACAGAGAGACAGAGTTTTTTCTTAGTTGTTTTCAAACAATAAGCAGATATTTGCCTGAATCATGGGGTGCTCAAAGCAATCTCTAGATTCAACGCAATCCCAATCCAAATTCCATCAACATTCTTTAAGGACATAGAAAAACCAATCACTAATTTTATATGGAAAGGAAAAAGAGCTCAGATAAGCAAAGCTCTACTGAAGAACAAAAGACAAAGTAGGAGATCCCACACTCCCTGATCGCAAAACTTATTATACAGCCATGGTACTCAAAACATCTTGGTACAACAAGTGACAGACAGACCAGTGGATCAGAACTAAGAATCCAGAAATAGATTCATCCACCTATGGACAGCCGATCTTTGACAAAGCGCTGAAACCCATTCAATGGGGAAGAGATAATCTCTTTAACAAATGGTGTTGGCAAACTGGATATCCATTTGCAGGAAAATGAAATAAGATCCATACCTCAAACCACACAAAAACTAACTCCAGATAGATCAAAGACTTAAATGTGAAACCTTAAACTATAAAGTTCACCAAAGAAAAAATAGAGGCAAACTTAGGGGCCCTATTATATGGCATTAATAGACTATGAAACATAAGTAAAAATGCACAAACAACAGAAGATAAACTAGATGATTGAAACCTTCTAAAAATTAAACTCTTATGTGCATAAAATCAAAAAACCAAACTCACTGCTGTCAAGTTGGTCCCAACACATACTGACCCCTCCTTGGGTTTCTGAGGCAGTATCTCTTCAGAATTAGATTGCCCAGTCTGCCTTCTGAGGAGTGGCTAGTGTGCATCAAAAGACTTCTCCAAAAGAGTAAAGAGAAAACCTACAGATTGGGAGAAAATATGCAACAACAACATATCTGACAAAAGATTTATCTCTAAAACCTATAGAAAACTTCAACACTTCAACATCAAAAAAACAAATAATTCAATTTGAAAATGGGCAAAGGATATGAACAGGCACTTCACCCAAGAAGACATTCAGCCAGCCAGCAAAAACATGAAGAAATGCTCACAATCATTAGCCACTGGAGAGATGTGAATCAAAACAACAATAAGACACCATCTCACTCCAGCAATAACAGCAAAGTTCAACAAGGCGAAAAACAACAAATGTTGTTGAGGGTGTAGAGAGATTGGAACTCTTATACACTGCTGGTGGGACTGTAAAATGGTACAAACACTGTGAAAAATGGTATGTCACTTCCTTAAAAAGTTGGAAATAGAAATACCATTTGATCCCAGCAATCTCATTACTATGACTATATCCTAAAGAGGTGAGATCCGAGATACGAATTGATATATGCACACCCATGTTCATCTCAGCACAATTTACAATAGCAAAGAGATGGAAACAACCTAAGTGCCCATCAACAGATGAATGGATAACCAAACTATGGTATATACACACAATGGAATACTATGCAACGTTAAAGACTAATGAAGAATCAGTGAATCACCTCATAACATGGATGATATTGGAAGAGATTATGCTGAGAGAAATAAGTCAATGACAGAAGGACAAATATTGTATGAGTCCATTATTGTAAAATGTCAAGGAAAGGTTTACACAGGGAAGGAAATTTTCTTCATTGGTTACCAGGGATGAGAGGGAAGGGGAAGAGAAGAGAAATAAATGGAAAGTTAAGAGACAGGTTTGATATGGGTGAAGGGCAAAGCAATATAACAAAAGCTTGTGACTAGCACAATATTACAAAGGAAAAGGAAGATGCAGAGAGGTGCACAAGAGGTATAGACAATAAAGGCAGATACTATTGCATACACAAAACTGCATTATCAGTAATAGCAAACACTAATCTACGGGAAGATGCAAAGGGAGACAAGCAAGAAGATCAGGTAAGGCTAGGCAAAGAGGAATATACCCACGACCATACAGAGGTGTGGCACACAACATTCCTACATATGTATTTGTATGTGCTATAAAAATGTCCATATGCACTTAAAGCTAACAAACGTGCAAAGTTAGGATAACTTCTTAGCCACAACTTAGCACCTTGAGGGACTGAATCACTGGGCCTGTGGGCTGGGGACCATGGGCACTGGGGACATCAAGCTCAATGGCACAATGTGGTATACAAAAATATGTTTCTATAGCTTACATCACAAAGGATGTTTCAAGATCTGTCCTGAAGTACAATGCTGTCAGTGATAGGATAATATCCATATGCCTACAAGGAAGACCCGTTAAT